CCACCTTGCGAGGGACCATTACCCCTTCCTCCCACGTAGTAGCTACCTTCGTCACCACCCCTCTGGGTACCGGGTCCTCTTCCACCACGTCTGCGGCCTCCTCTTCCTCGGCCACGTCCTCTTCCTTGTCGCCCTCCCCCGCGGGCTGCAACGGCTGCGTAACTCCCCTCCTGAGCTACCAACCCGAAGGGTCCTTCCTCGAGACCATAGTCTATCTGGTCCCAAGAAAGTGATTCGACACCTCCTTCTTCAAAGGTCAGAAGGAGGTTATCTTTCCCAAGTATTGACCCTGAGATAGTGCGGTTTTGCCATCTCTTTCCCACTTGCAGATCTTTCCAATAATGGCAATAGTTGGCCTCAACCAAAAACCCTGCATGGTCCAATGCAATCTTACTAAATTTCTCATATGTCATTCCCTACTCTTTGGTACGGGGATACAATTGAGTTCGGACGGGGTCAGGTAGGGCGCGTGCAAAGCTATTCAAGATTTGAGCCGGGGTCAGACCATGTAGTAATTCATCCATGGTTGTCTTTAACGCCGAAGTACTTTTCCATTTTCTGTCGGGAAGGTTCAATATTAGTAATTCCGTTCTTCGGGCTAAGTTTTTGTCTTCGAACCTTTCTCTGACGGCTTTGAGAAAGTCTTCAATACGGGTTTGTTGAGAGAATTCTACCATCGAACTACAACCCGCTTCCTTTTGTAATGAGATGGCGAAGCTCATCGCGTCGTCSGCCATACAYGAAGTGGCCAYCAGMACTCTATCCCAATACGGAATCCGTTGTCCGTAGACATAGGACTCTACTGCCGCCATCCACTGCAAGACACTTTCCTCTTTCTTGCCTGTGTAGGTCCATGGAATTTTAACCTTAATTTTATTACTAGGCCCCGCTCCTTCTTCTCGTCGTACTCCCTTTCCTTTTTTATCTCCATCGCCTCCATCCCCGTCTCCATCACCGCCTCCTCCTCCGCCACTGCCCTGCACTATCCTCTCAATCACAGCCGGAGTGAAGGTTCGGGTGATGTGATCATCCAATTTCTTGAAGTAGGACTGAATATCCAGATCTACGTCTTTGGCGAACTTCTGCAGAAAGGTATTCCAGACATTTTCAAATTCATGTTGACTACTTTCAACTTTTTGTAGAGTCCGGTTGATTGCGGCGACTTCTTGCTTAGTATGGAGAACTGTTTCGGTCAAGAGGGCAAGTTTTTCTTCGGTGGCTGCCAGTTTTTCTTTTTGTGCCTGCAGCTCGCTGTGCAGTCTTGCCCCCTCTGCTTGTAATTTTTTTCTATCATCGAGTTTTTTCCGTTTTGCTGCTAACATTTTGCTGTGCAGCTCGGCGCGTTTCTCTTCAAGCATGAGTTCTCTCTCCTTTTGATCTGTCACAGTTGCCAATCTCGCGACGAATACGTCCCTTTCTTCTTCCGTTTCTTCTGGTCTGTCACTGGAGTAGGCATACCGGTCATACTAGTCCAGCGGTTCGACCTTAAGTTCGCCCGCTGTTTGGCTGGTTTCGCCTCTTTCTGCATGCCGACTGACAATTCTTTCTCTCCCTTCTTCAGATACTTCTTCTTCTTCTTCTTCAATAGTCTGCAATTCATCTTTTATTTCTTGGTCCAACTTCTCTTTTAACTTCTTCTTTAACTCTTCTTCTTCTAGCTGGGCCTTCTTCTTTAATTCCTCTTCTTTCTTTTTCTTTCTTTCTTCTCTTTCCTTCTTCTTTTATGCCTGCCGGCGGTCAATCTCAGCCTGCTCAGCAGGTGTTGGCCCTGGCTTCACTGCTCCTGATCTCATCATCATGCGGGAGGTGCTCACCCTCCCGAAGCCCAGGGGAAACATCATTCGGAACCGTGGACCCAACAGCACGGACAGGGCAATCAAGCCCTGCATGGGAAAATCGTCCACCATGATGGGACTTAGCACAGGAGGTCCTCCGCAGGTCCCACCAGGTAGTCTCCCAACTTGTCTTTAGGCTATTCTCAGTGGATGTGGATGGACTATAACACTTTGCTTTGTCTGTGTTTTTTTTCTTTTCTTTTCTTTTGAATTTTGGGTGTCACTGTTTCAATAACGAATTTCAACTTAAATACAATAATATTTTTTTCCTCGCTGCTTGCCTTCAGATTCAAATGTCGAACTGATCAGAACAATGCTATAGGTCAAGGTCCGCCTAATGCCTTCTGCGGTTCACTTCCTTATGTGTATTAATTGTTTTTCTTTCTTTTACCTCCTTTATGCTAACCCTGTCTGTTGCCCTCTTGCGCAGGTGGCACTGAAGTAGTCACTTAATCAGATATCTGGGTCTTGCTTCAATCACACTTATCTTTACCCCGTTTGAATAGACTTGGTACCTTACTTATATCTGATGTGGCAACTGCCGTACTCCTATCTTACCTATAGCGCAGACTCCAGACTAGAGGGTTGGAGAAGAGAAGGACTCTGATCCTCTGATCACTCTAACTCCAAGATGACAAGTTCCTTTGACTTCAACCATCCAGACTCTAGACCCTGTGACCCGATTTGACAGCAGCAGCAGCGACCCCAGAGAGGATAAGGAGAAGGAGCACACACACACATGCAGCCAGGTAAGGGGTAAAGGGGTGCTTCTCTCTTTGGCAGCGATCGTTGATGAAGGCTCCTCGTCGCTCCGCACTCCAAGCTCCAGGTAAGTAACCTTCTGCCCCTTCCTCTTCGGCCTACTCCTCTCTCATATCCCTGTCCACCACTCCTTTCACCATCGCCAGCACAGTCAACAAGCCGGCGGTCTCTCCTTCTTCTCGCCGGCCTTACTCATGCCAGCGCAGTGTGTACAACAAGTATCTGCTCCGATACCAGAATTGCAAGGAACCTGACTGTTCACAGCTTGTTTGAGAGCATCACACCGCATGCATACATGTCATCACCCATACAAAGTGGTAGCACACAAAACCAGACTGAGATGAGATAAGAACTAGTAGCGCAACTTATATTATCAATGTCATTGAATACAGAGAGTATCATGAGTTCCAGAGTTCAGCGCCAACAAGAG